AATCCAACTCATATTTTATTTTATCATTTAAAATAATATTTTTTAATTAAACATAAAATATCCCACAAAATACGAATTAATAAGATTTGCAATCTTCTTCAAATTTACAACGTGATTTCCTTCAAAAAATTGTGTTATTAATGTATTTATTTCTAAAATATTTAAATATATAATTAAAATTATGCTTACGATAATGTATATTTGATGGATTCTTTAGAGCATTTGGAAAATTTATTCTCGTTACCATTTCTTCGACCTCCCATAATGTATCCGTCTGATGATGGACAATCTAATGCTCCAGGATTTCCAGGAAATCCGATTTTATTGGCATCTTCTCCGTCGTGCACGCTTCCAAGTCTAAAATTTCGTTTCAAATTTAGAATATTTCTACATTTAATGTAATATATTAAGTTACTTACAGATGTCCTGATTCATGTGCTACTACCCAAGCTCTATCAGGATGATTGAGTGGATCGATAGTAACCACGCAAACTTTAGCACATATCTTGCAAACACCGGCTGTGTACGCAATGCCTACAAGACAATTTATTTGGAAGTACGTAGAAACAATTTTAGGTGACGTAGAAGTGAACAGAAAAATACTTACCTAGTACATTCAAAGTAACTGTATTATCATTATTTAGCTTGCCCATTTTACGACTAATAATAAATATTGAAATTACTCAAACTGTAATCTATAAATATCAATAATATAATACTTACTTGACAATTAGAATGATAATATCAGCATCTACAGCCAAACCAGTAGCGTGATAACAGTAATAGTAAGACATTTTATCAAGTAAGTCGTAAGCATTAAGATGTCGTTCGTATCCCGGTATTGCACTCTCGTGTATATAAGATGGATCCGTATTTCTCTGTAATTGCAAAGAAAATTAAATAAATAAATCTAGTTGATGGATAAATTACGCATTTTCTTCAATTACCTTGTACAAAATAACTCCAATAACGGAAAGTTTTATTCCCAATTCTAACGTATCAATTATGTTTTGTACCTGAATAATAAATAAAAACAACACAAAAATATCAATTGTAATCTAAAGATAAATATTAATATATTACATTTAAATGCATGTAACAAATAATATCCTACCTCGATAAACATACGAGCAACAAATTTTTCTAGATATTCCTCTCTTTTCAAATATCTGGTAAAGTTACTTTCTGATAAGATCAGATATTTCAGCACTATGCACTGATCGTCTCTGGCCATTCTCTCCACTTTCTCTACTGTTTCTTTAACACCTATAGGCATGACTGTAAAACAAAGTAAATAGGTTAATAAAACCTAAGCTGCGAAGTATTAAAAATGAAAAATGTTTCTGTGTATAGGCCTTGATACCTCCGTCATCGCCAAAAGAGTTTTTGTCCCTTATAACTTCCACAATTTGATGAGGAATTCTTCCATCTCTATCCGCTCTTCCCGACTCGTACGGTTCGATTTTCAAGTTTGAATTCACAACTCCTTCCTAAAAATATGCATAAAAGTTCTATATTCTGTACAAAAATACGTATAATTATTAATAATAGTAATAATTACAATCTTGACAGGTCCTTCTTCATCGATTAACAAAGCTGCTCCATTAGTGCTGTTTCTGTACATTTTTCTTTTCAAGTCTTGTACTTTGATCTTAAAATATTTAAGTATTTATGTAAACTTGCTATTTTCATCAATAAATATAATCCTAATACTAATATACAGTATGTAAATTTAGTAACATTATGATTAACGAATGTCATAATAACAATCCGAATTGTATTTTGTAAATGAAATCTATTACATTTTTAATATAAGACAGTTAGTTGTTTTTCGAACACATGGTAATTCTTTTCTTGACACCGTATTTTTGTCTGAAAATGTATACAACAAATAATTCTATCACGTAGTTTAAGTCTGACCATTTTTGAATTGCTCATCTCCAATCTGCCATAAATATATTCAATTTGGACAAGTTCAATTTCCACACTTTGAAATTTCGATATTTTCACTTGCCTTTTTTTCGTTCATTAAACTCTTGAAATACTTTTTTATAATTTCGACTATTTCGATTATTGCAGCTGTTGTGAGAAGCCGAATACACACGTTACTTTATACCATTGAGATTTGCACCTAGCACGAATGGTAACTAGGCCAATATGATAAGAACGCTACTTATATGTTGTAAATAACGCTACTGTATAACCTGATGAATAAGAATAATAATTTAGAAAATGACTTACCGAGGGAAGTATTCGATTGTTCGCATCATACAGTGCAAAGTTTTCTGCCAATATTTCGCCAGCAGGTTCTAATTTCAGTTCTATTTCTTCGTTTAGAGCTCGGAATTTGACCGTCTTCACTCCAGATCTCGATGTTTCCACCGACGGAAACACCAGGACGTCAACTCGACCTGTTTATTTATTAATATCAGAAACTTAAAAATATCCCTTCAAATCCGTATATTAAAAACTCTTGAATATTATTAATGTTTTAATAAAAAATATTGTCTTACCAATTGAAATGGCTGAAACGCCTACAAACGGGAAAAATATTGCAAAATAGAAGATCATGATTAGTTATAGCAATAGGGATGCTTCCACCCTATTTATAGTCGTTTAAATCGTGTGGAAAATGCTGATTAGTATAATTAATTGTTTACTCATTCTCTGCCAATCGCTATTTCGCATCTGTTTTAAATTTTAATTATCGTTGGAAAATCATTAATTTTTTATTATTATTTTTAATGTATATATTTTTGTCGTGTAAAAATAGTTCAAAGTGTAATAAAATATATTGTCTTTCTTCACATAAAATAATATAATTTCGAAACTTTTTACTTTACAGTAGTTGATAAGAAGTTCAACTTTTGATTCATGTAAAATATTTTGAATAAGTTCAAAATTTCTACAATTCAATTTCTAATATTATTTGAACCTGTAACGACGATTTGCCAATTAGTAGAATTTTCGTAGTAAAATAAAATATCAAATATTCGTAATTTAAAATTTAAAATTTATTTTCTATTACAAGTACAGTACAATCTATATATTAACAGGACTTATTATACTGAAATTATGGATGCAGATATTTAGTCTTACAGGTGAACTAAATAAAGAACATTATTTTTGAACTGTAAGACTAAATATCTGCATCCATAATTCCAGTATAATAATTCCTGTTAATATATAGATTGTACTTGTTATACAATATNTAAAATTCTATATTTCTAGATTCTGTACATTTTTTACGAGGTTTTCGAATGACAGATAAAGAAAAATAAGAAAAAATAAAGCTTTTTGACGATTTTTGCACTTTTCAATTGCTTATATTTCGGCAACCGCTTTATACAAATTTTTGAAATTTTACACACTACACAGGAAAACAATTTTTCATACGAGATATTCGAAATTACAATAGGTATTTAGGGGATTGAGAGATCGACCTCCGAATACCGGCAATTCTTGTTTCTGTATATATATATATATATACAGAAACAAGAATTGCCGGTATTCGGAGGTCGATCTCTCAATCCCCTAAATACCTATTGTAATTTCGAATATCTCGTATGAAAAATTGTTTTCCTGTGTAGTGTGTAAAATTTCAAAAATTTGTATAAAGCGGTTGCCGAAATATAAGCAATTGAAAAGTGCAAAAATCGTCAAAAAGCTTTATTTTTTCTTATTTTTCTTTATCTGTCATTCGAAAACCTCGTAAAAAATGTACAGAATCTAGAAATATAGAATTTTAAATTTAAGAGTTTCTCGTTATTACTGAGGTGCTAGCGAAACGTCTGGGTCGATATGACAGAAATGTACACAACACTAGGAATTGTCGTTAGCTACAGAATCGTGCCAATCATCTACTTAGCTCCTTTCAGAAAAAAGTTTTGAATTGAAATAAGTTGACTTCCGGTTTGCATCGGATGTTTATGTACAATTATTCTAGGTTTCCTGTCCTTTCGGTTTACACATTTGGTCTCGGATTTCATCTTCCAAACTACCTTCTCGAGATTAAGGAAAGACAGACGGACGACAGTGGGAATTTATAGTTTTTTGGGCTGCAATTTGAAAAAATTGCAGCCCAAAAACGGAATAATAAAGATTAGGCGAACTATCGAAACACTAGTCTAAAGAATAGATTAGATTATATTGATATCATTATTCAAAACGTTATATATATATTAAATTGACTTATGTTCAAATATAAACTCTATACGCACTCTATTTATTCTTAATATAATTTATATAGTCAGAAATACAGTCTTAATGCATACAATTGTCATTTCATTAAATACTGTACTTTACTTTTTATCGGTAAAAAAAACAAAGCACACAACAAATTTGACTGCATTGTTAATTATTTTATTCGTTTTAAGTTATTTTTAAATAAAAGATTATATGTTTCAAATACAATTGACGCTTTATTAATTTACAATAATAATTTTTTGGGTTTGAAATACACTATCATTTACCAATCAACTTCTTCAAGTCAACTGGATCGATAACTATAACTAAATACACCAATCAAAACCTTGTTAATCCCAGTAAATAATTTAATGTAAGATTTGCTTCATGTCAACAACATTCTAAATTGGAATGCATAGAACTAATTTCGAAATTTTGAAATTTTTGAGGTAATATATTAATATATAAAATATAAAATTGAATAAATAAAAATTAGGTTGCCTATTGACACGAATATAATTAAAACCGATACAAATATAAGAAATAATTATATACCTCAAATACAATATTAACTAATTTATGCTGGTATTGCCTGTCTTTTCATAAAAACAGCGCCAAATTTTTCGAGTTTGCATTAAATTGTTTACTGGGATTTACAAGGTTTCCATTGGTGTATTTAGTTATATTTACCAATTACTAAGTTTTGCAGTCTTCAAATACACAAGAAGCCCGGGGCAGCCTTTTAGAAGAAATTAGTCATTAATGTATCTATATTTATTTCTGAAATATACAAATATAGATAATTAAAATTATGCTTACGATAGCAAGTATTCAATGCATCTCTTAGAACATTCGGAAAATTTATATTTTTTATCATCATCACTTCGATCTCCCATTATATAACCGTCAGTTTTTGGACAATCTAATGCTCCTGGATTTCCAGCAGGTCCCTTATTAGTTCCGTCGCCGTCGTGAGGGCTTCCAAGTCTGAATAATTATTAAAAATTTTGTTTCAGATTTAGAACGTTCTCCACATCTAATTTAATGTTTTAAATCACTTACAAATGAGCTGATTCATGAGCTACTAAAATAACTCTTTCAAAATAATCCGAGTTGTCAAAGGTAATGCCAACTTTGTTACAGTCACAAACCCCGGCGAGATATGTAATGCCTACAAACCAAATTTACTTAAAAATACATGCCATGAATTAAATGATAAAATAGATATAAACAGGATAATAATTACCCTCAATACTTAAGGAAAGAGTATTATCGTCTATTATCTTGGCCAATCTACGACTGAACAATATATATATATAATTACTCCAAGTCTAATATGTGTTATATTAAATTATACTAAAATGCCATATAAGTAGAAAAAATAAACGCCATAAAAACCTTTTAGCATCAAAAATAAATTAAAAATTTATTTATTAAATGCGAAGGTCTTTGGACATTTTCGATGACCATCTTTAGTCTACAGAAAATCGAATAAAACTGAATAGAACATATACTGTACAATGAAGAAATAAAATCTAATTATAAAATTAATTTAAATTCGTAAACATATAAATTAGGCATTAAACTGTAAAGTATAAAATTTATTTCTGGGTAATAGAAATGGAAAAAAAGTGCTCGTTGATACATAGGCCTTTCAAAGTGTACTTATAGATTTTTTGTAGACTGTCGATCAGACAAATCTTCGGTCGGTAAGATCCTTTTAAATGCCTGACTCCTTTCAAGAAGATTTGTATATTATTTTCACGACGAATCTAGCTAAGGTAATACTGTACATAAATCTATGCGTATGTTGTATTTGTGTTGTTGTATTACTAAGCTAAAGACATTCTTTTTTCCATTTCCAATGCCTGAAATAAGCAGTGAAACTGTAAAACATAAAGTTTAATTTACATGTAAACGTCTGTAAATTACTAATATAGTTTTTGGTTTCTTTAATAATTAAATTTAGTTTTTTATTTCGTCATTGTATTTGTTCTATTTAGTTTATTTTGATTTTCGATTGCCCGAAGTTGGTCATTTTAAATTACCAAAATCGTACGCATTAATTGAACAAGCTGTTTATTTAATTTTTCCTTCCAAAAGGTCTTCGTAGAGTATATTTTGTTGTCTAATCTATATATAGGCTATCGATAATCTAACACTTGCCTAACAGAGAGCATAATGATATCAGCATCTTTAGCCAAACCAGTATAATGTGTGCAGTAGTAATTTAACATATTATTAAGTAAATTAAACGGATTGAGATATTCTTCAGCTCCCCGAATTGCACTTTGTTCTATGAAAGACGGTTCTGTTTCCTTCTGTAATTAAAAACGAAGGTAAATAACTAAGTCTTAATTANAGATTTTTATTACTTAAAGATGCTGTCCGAAAAAGTCTAGAAACCTAACCTAACCTAATCTGGACGCGGCCGGATGGCCGAGCGGTTAAGGTGGCAACCAACCGCTCTGGGGGAGTCTGGCTCGAATCCGAATGGGTCGAAAAATCCTAATAACTTTTCGGGGGGTGGTTCGTACGGATATGTCGTCTCCGTCCCTCACCACCCGGCAGCCCCATTGCGGGCCTGGGCGAACCCATAATGGGATTGCAAAAAGAGGCCCTCTTAGTGCCCACAGGGCGAAAAGAGTTAGAAAAAACCTAATCTGGATTATTTTATACAAAAATTAGATCAAAATTAGGAGATAAGACTTTAAATCATTTAAGTTTCGTGAGAAGTTATTTTTTAAAAAATGGTAAACAATAAAATGGTATTAGGTACTATATATTATTTCTGTTTTATTTTTATTTTTCTGTATTATTTTATTTATGTTTCTAAAAGTTATTATTATAGTTTGTTTAGAATAACACTTTAATTTTTATATTTTTTATATTCTATACCTTTGAAATAGAAAATGTGAAATGGAAATCAAAATTACTTATATTTTTTATCACCTTAATTTTATTTTTCAGGAAAAAATTT